AGTCATAGATAATCAGGAAAAATACATTGTTGACTGAATCTGTAATTAAATGTAACATTTGGTCACTTGTTTTCTTTATTCAAAATTCGGACAGAACTTATGGCATGACCTGATACATTTATCAACATCAGATAAATGTTTCTGAATAATACAAAAATGATATAAAAATGAAAACTAAAAGATTAAAAGTTTAGAAGCTATTATTATGAAGCAGACAGGCATTAAATAAAAATATATTTCTCTGCAGGAGACTTAAATTGTGAATGAGTTATTTCTTATTTAGTCGAAATAATAGTACGTATAAATGTTTGATACATCTATTCTGGTTGTTTTTCATAATGACTGAGATAAGGTGGCTTCTATCCAGGCACGGTGGAGTAATATATAGCAGCTCGAATGGAAGAATCGGAGAGCCGAGTTCGAATTCCAGTAGAATCCATTACATTCTCTTACGTGCCAATAACTTTGCGAAAGGTATGAATCCTCTTCTTCAGCTCACTACCATTTATGCATAAATAGCAGCGCAGACCGGGTTCTATAGCCTTAGATGGCAACTGATCTACCGCAGAAAGAATTGGCAACCTACTGCGGAAAAAAATATGTCTCGTCAGACATGTATCGAAAGATACATAACCATATAAGCGTGTATCACGCATGGCACATATTTGACTTGTTCATGCAGTATAAATATTTTCATGGCATCTTGTCTGACGGGGCTACTTTCATTGGTGCCCCAACTTCATGAATTTAACTAGATTGGCATTTCGGTCCGACCCTTTCACTATCAAAACTATTAAATGTAACCGCTTCTTCAACTCCAACAACTTCTTCTCTCGCACTTCCCGACAGTGGAAATCCCTTCCTTTTACTCGCTTCCCCGAAAACCACAATCTTGAAATATTTTAATGAAATGTCAATCGACATCTTCTGATACCATGATCTTGATACTCATCCTTCTCTTTATCCTTTCCTCAAACACCCCCCTCTTTACTCTTATTTTCACTCTCTGTGTCCAGTGGCACCCTCGCCTTACTTTGGGGGAAATGCTTAAAAAAAAAACGATAAAAATAAAGTAACTCACATTCGAGAGATGATTGGGTTTCTTACTCGGCGCCTAAAGCGTTCCCAAAATTGGAAGTGTTGATGGAACTTTGATATCTTTTCCACTTATTGCCGGTAAACCAACTTAAACATCGACGTTTTGCAACATTCGGTACCGAGGTGTGCCCTTTGAAAAAAAAAAAAAACTTTCTTCTTCTTTGTTTTTAAATCTGAACACAACGATTACTTGTCTGTCTTCCTTTTGTGAACTTTTTGCATTATAACAGCTGATCTTTTTTGCATATATTCTTTGAGCACTATTATTTGGCCCTGTTCAATTCTATCTGCTAAATGCATTTAAACATGTCCAGTTCCTCTAGGCTTAGGATGAGATTAACAATATACAAAGTGCGATGTACAAATTGTCGCCATTTTATATTTTTATGCACGTTGTCTGTTTTTGATTTTGTCGATTGCGCAGTATAGTAGGGTCAGTTGAGCACCGTCAGTGAAAAAAAGAAATGACGCAAATTACTTCGTCAGAAATTTGTAAACGGTATACTGTACTGCTTGGCATTCGCCTATTTAAGGGTGTTTAGGTGTCAGTCTGAGAACAGTGCAGAGGATTCAGAAAGAGTTGGATGATATGTCCATTTAACATCGTGGTGTTTAGTGATCACTACAGACGGCCACGCTATGCATTCATTATCGCACAAGGCCTCACCATCATCAAGCATAACTACATCAAGTGCCTTGACAAGGTAGTGTTGCCCTGAGTCAAGAGGGTGGCTGCTGGAAGAAAATATGTCTGGCAAACGGACTCTGCACCATGCCACACAAGCGGAAAAACCCAGTCATGGCTGTCAGATAATTCCTGCAACCCCATCACCATTTACATCTGGCCACCTAACTGCCCAGACTGCAACCCCCCCTTGATTATTCTGTGTGGGGCGCAGTTGACCGAGAGACCAACAAAACAGTTTAAAGACTAAAGATGAACTAAAGGCAATGGTTATGGCAGCATTCACTAACTTAAACATGGAGACCGTTCAGAAGCCTTGTAGGAGATTCCGAAATCGTTGTGAAGGCGTGATTGCAGTCAATGGCGATTTTATTGAATAAATTTACTCTTTAATATTTGAAGATATTTTTGTGTAATTTTAGTTAATATATGTGTTAAAATGGGATGTCATAGATCTGGCTAATTTATCCACACTTATGTGTAAACACGCTCTAGCCTCGATTTTGCAACAGTCTTTTTTATGCGTGAACGCTATCTTCAGGTCACGTGTGTCGACTACTCTTATATGCTATTCATTGGGTCATTGTTGGTAGCAAAGTCGAATAAAACAATATACCGAAAATAACTGAAATTTCTACCCATAATGCCCCAATATATATATATATATATATATATATATATATATATATATATATATATTTATTAATATTTACGATGTATACTTATTCTTTGTATAAATATTATAAGTCTTATTTTACATTGGTTAATGTTTTACTATTACTGCCAACACTTGCTATGCGTTATTTTATATTTTCATATTGATCGACAGGTATATAGATATAAACAGTGTGGACACAGAAATCAACACAATATTGTGGCAGTACGCTTCACTCCTCAGTGGTAATGGCTATGGTAAAATCTTTCTCTTAAAACAATCTTTTTAAGAAAACAGGTTTCTCAAGTCAAGTAGCTGTTATTTCTCTTTTCAGTACTGATTGGGAACTTTTTTAACATTCAATTTGAAGTTATGTGGAATGTTAACATCTTGATTAAGTCTTAATTTTCTCTTCGAATTACATGTTCTATCCATTTTAGTTGTTGCTGATGTTGGTTGTCCTCAAGTAATGCGATTTACTAATAGAATCTGCTATTCCAAAGTCTCGACTACAACGAGAATTACAAACGTGATAACGAGCATTCGTTGACATTGCAAAAGTAACAACGCGAAGGCGTCGAGCATTCTCAAAAAAAAAAAAACAACTCATGATGTTCTGCGATTCGGCAGATAGATTGTTTTTTGAAGCACGTGGGACTCGGAAAAAAAATCTCTAATCACCTTTCAATTACCGATACATCGGTCCATCATTAGCTAACAATTTTTTTTGCTTGACCCTTTTTTTCTGTCAGGCGTCATTAAGCTCGACTCGACCAATGAACCGGCAGACATAACAGTTTTTTTTTCAACAAAACGAAAATACTCCACACTACTTTAATCAACACTCTTTAATCTGGGTTAATCAGATAAAGTGTGATATAGATCAATAAACGACTCAGTTATCTTTACTTTTACTTATTGAAAATGTCACCCAAAAACCCCTTGAATTTGCAAGTATGATATGCAATAGAAGACAATAGAAAATTTTCATAACATTCAATATGCATTCGACACAGCTGAAATTTGCTACAACGCTTCTTCTATTAATTGTTATACATGTATAGCAAACAAAAATGTTTCTTCGCATAGAAAATACTTCTAAAAACAAAGAATCGATAAAATAGGACGAAAAAACTAATTCAACGTGGAGCACTGAAAAAAGACAAACTTTAATTGCAAATGTTGAACAATTTACACTACTGACATATTTTCCGGGGCGTGCTGCATTCAACTGGAAAATAATACCGCACTCTGATAACAGCACATTAGTCGGCATGTTGTACGTTTCGTCGATATGTGTTTAATCACCCATTTCATCCACACATTCGACAATTTTTCTTTCCACCTAACGAGGAGAGAAACAACTATCCACCTGGAAGGGAGGATTGTCGGGTTACTCCTCTTAATTTTTGAAACTGCTCCTACGAGACATACTCAGGACTATAAATTCATAGCGATAGTTTTTTTTTTATCCTCTTCATACGTCAACATGTAACTCCCTAGCGGATATATACGTCCTCCTAGAGAAACGCATGATCAATACATGTATACACATGTACGGACGCGCATTCACCCATTACACATATTTTAACCCTTAGGTTCTGACATTCATTTGAAACACATCATTGTTTTTGTCACTTGTAACCCTTTATTGTTAATACATTATCATTTGTTTGCATATATATATATATATATATATATATATATATATATATATATATATATTTTTCTCGTTTCTTCAATTTCTTTACGTAGACTCACATCCCGAGTCTGTCATGATTGTCGAGGTCATGTCAGGAGACACACATCTCTCAACGCATACACCAGTCCGCAACAAGATCAATCTGATAACTTAAAAAAATCTTTTAATCTTACTCATTCTTATATATATATATATATATATATATATATATATATATATATATATATATATATATATATATATGTAATAAAAGGATTAAACACTAATATTCCATGGTCATAATATTAGTCATATCAGTCATAATATTGGTCAAAATATTAGTGTTTAAGCCTTTTTATTATATACTTACTCTGTCGTGGACATTGACTTCTACCTTGATTCTATCCTCTTGATAATTATTTATTCAAAAATATATATGTACGTGTATGCACCTATGTATATATATTTATATATTTTGCATATGTATGTGTATATTTACATTTACCACTAATATTATCAATATATATATATATTGTCTATATTTCTGAGATGAGGTATTATGTACAGTATTTACATTAGTCGGACTATTGTCCTCATCTTTGTCGCCATATTTGTCACAACGTTTCGGCCGTTGTACGCTCCGGCCTTCTTCAGGTGGTTGTAATTTCGAACTGAACCCTTTATTTCGATCGCTGGCGTAGACTGTTCTAATTCCACGTGCCATATTTGATGGAGGTTAGATCCAGTGACAGACCCAAAGAAGGTGAGTTCAATTCCTGGTTAAGGCAGTGGAGAACTTTCAGAGGGAAAATTAGCAAGAGATAACTGATAACTGACATCCATCAAACATGGACTATAAATAAGGGTGTGCTTCTGTGTGTTACTGAAACACCGGTTGCCGTATGATCACCGAAGTTAAGCAACATTAATCCTGCTCAATACCTAAATGGGTAACCGCTTAGGAATACCAGGTGTTGTAATAATGGATGTGAAAATTTTCTTGGGCGATCATGACTCGAAAAGTGACATGACCTTTAAAGCGTGTAACAAACGCCCCTACCAACCAACCTTGTACCAGTTTAGGTAGGGTAACGACTCATTCTGTCCTATGAATCCGTAGAAGGACGATATCCAAGGTTTATATGGCATTCACAGACAGTTTCTGCACGGCAGTATTTGTTGAAATATTTAATGTGATTTTCGAGGAATATAATTTGCATATACCACTAATGTAAGTGCGTTGACATTTAAGAAGCTAATGTTGTTAAAATATGGATTTTGTTTCATTTTACATTTTGATTTGAGTTTTCTGTTTATCTTACTAGATCTGAAATCAAAATTAATTTCTTCTCTATTTAAATATCATCTTTGATTTTTCCTACAACATATTTTACTATTGATATACAGATTTTAAATAAACGTGATATATAACATCGATTTGATTTCAGTATTACTTGAACCGAAATTTAAGTTAAATACGAACTTTAAATATTTACGTTTTATGCTCAGTGATTTTCACGAGTTTTCTTGAATCTTCATGAAGATTTCAAGGTACGATCAATATCAAATATTTAGATCAAATATATATATATATATATATATATATATATATATACATTTTTTCATTTTTATTGCCACATGCATGATGTTTCGGCAGATGTACTCTCCGTCCTTCTAAAGGTTATGTATATTTAAATTTAGTATTTAAACGGGTGTGCGTGTAAGACGAAATATGTGATAGCATTATAGGTGATTAAAATTTTATCTACTTGTCAAACTTTCGTGAAGTAAGAACATCATGAAAAGGTATTTACATATATGTCACACACATACACACACAGTCACAAACACACACACACGTATATACATACATGCACACACACGCACACAGACACACATATATACTTATATCATTATTTTTTTTTAATTATAACATTAGTATAACATCACTACAAAGATAGATGTTTTAAAACTTCTGGTGTCTTGTCAAGTGATAGTACTTCGAATAGTGTTTTTCTTTAGTGAAATTTATTCCATCTATACCAACCTTTGTTGTATATATATATATATATATATATATATATATATATATATATATATGAAACAAAATTAACATTTAGCTGACGCGTTTCATCCTCTCATTTTAACACGAGAGGGTTTTATTTTGTTTATTTTCGAGAGAAAAAATGTTATTGTTTTTTTTTTTTTTTTCAAAATGCTTGCTTATAGGAATGTTAAACAATATTAAATGAAAAGTCGGGCATGTTATGGCAGCCTGAAGTGATATAATTCAATGTCTAGTAAAGAAAAGTGAGTAAGTTTTTGTTTTAGGTATTTAAGCAAATTAGTATTTACATTGTTCTATTTTGGTGTAATTTATGTGCTGTATATCATACTTATTACAAAAGCCAGGCTGTGTGTGTGTGTGTGTGTGTGTGTGTGTGTGTGTGTGTGTGTGTGTGTGTGTGTGTGTGTGTGTTCGTTTATATATTGGATCGGATTTCCTACATTTTTCAACTGATTTCAATAAAACTTCACAGGACTACGTAAAATTACCTTGCGGTGGTTCTGACAGAGCCAAAAATTGGAAAAACACAATTGTTTCTGCACGAAATCAATTTGAAAACACAATTAAGAGGCATCGCTATTGCGAGAATGAAAGGGGACAACTCATATCGAGTTACACTTATTATAAAACCCAGGTTGTGTGTGTGTGTGTGTTCCTTTATATATGGGATCGGATTTCCTACATTTTCAACCGATTTCAACAAAACTTCACTTTTTTTTTTTGGCAGGTAGTGTTTCTTATTGTCTTGCATTTTTTCTTTATTTTTACATTCAGAATGCTTTAAAAATTCCACTTACAAGACAATTGTTTATAATAAAATTCTATTCAATCGGTAGACTCATAACGATTGAAAACAATGTTTTTGTTTGAGTTTGAGCAATTAGTAAAAAAAAAAAGAAAAGAAAAACTAATTAAGACATGCGTGTCTGTCAACCTTAAACAATAATCTTTGTCAATTTTATTTTTCAGTCTTTATGATGGTCGATACTTGATCTATCTCTTACTGTTACATCCCCCGGTAACGCCGGGCTCTACTGCTAATCTTAAATAACATGATCAGCTTTCTGAAACTGATATCTACCTGATCCAGCCTGTTGTTATGATATTTCACACATAGACGCATATAATCTCCCTCTTATTCTGTAAATCTTTTATCCCTAGTGGCTCTTGGCCCTTGTACTTTGAACACTATTGTAAAAAAACGCTCATAAAATCATACCTATTGAATAGAAGGGCGTGCATGTTGTAAGTGTAATAGAATCTTTTAAATTGATATTGCAAATTAACTGATAATTCTTATTTTTCTCCCCGGAATCGATCCTCCAGATCTACAAATCAACAATTCACTCTTGCATGGAGTATTGCTGCTATATATGGTCTGGAGCCCCTTCTATTTGCCTCGTGGTTCTTGATAAGCTCCAGAGGCGGATATGCAATATAATTGGCCCTGTTCTGGCATCTCATCTACAGTCGCTCTCTCACAGACGCGCCGTCGCCTCTATCTGTCTTTTTACAAATACTTTCATGGTAATTGCTCCGAGGAGCTGCATTCGCTGGTTCCCTGACTTCATGAATTCAAGCGCCCTACAAGGCTGGCATCCCGCTCTCACCCTTTCACTGTCGAAATTACTAAATGTAGCCGTCTCTTCCACTCCAAAAGCTTCATGTCTAGCACCTCTCGCCTGTGGAACTCCCTTCCCTATTCCAGTTTCCCTGAGAGCTATAATCTCCAACTATTCAAATGTAATGTTAAGCAACATCTCCAGTTGGCTTGATCTATCCATCTTTATCCATCTATCTATCCATTCTTTTATAGCGAGAATTAAAATGCTAAGAATTTTAAAAAACTTATAGAAGACTTTTGTGCCAATAGCCTCCCAATTTTAAGAACGTTAAAATTATTTGATTCTTTCAATTCTTGCCTCAAAATAATTTCAACATTTGCTTCTTCTTCAAATGATTAATTATTAATGGACCAAAAATTCTTCGGACTAGCACCATTTATTTTGCTTCTTTTCATATTTAAAAATTGAAAAGCTACTTGAATGATTTTTTATTCATACTAATATTCAATACAGACAATGTAACAAACCCATATAAAAACACATTTTTTTAATTATTATTTTTCTAATCAATTCACCCCAAGGAAGAAGATAACGCCACTAAGACGCAAAGCGGAGCGGGCTACCGGAAGTGAAATATAAGAAAATTACTTTAGAAGAAACCGGAAATACAATATTAGTCAACATTTGAGACTTTAGAGATGTTAGAAGTAAAGAGTTGAAGAGTTTCGAAAGAACCAGAAAACCAATTTTAAACAGGAAATAAGAATAAACCTCAATTTCTATTCAAAATAGCGGAGAGAAGAGTGAACCGGGCGATGGGTAGGCATACATGCACCTATTAAGATTAAGAAGTTGACTTGCAACATAATCACTTATTTTTAGTTATCGTGTGTGATTCCCTTTGTAATAAATTATGTTTTTAACAGATACTGTTTTTTGATAGCCTTGTGCCTGAATACCTCAATATAACAGAGTAGATCCGATTAGTATTTAATACCATTTATGGAGGCCAGCCATTTGTGGTCGATTCACAAAAATATATATTTGAATTGTATGTCCTTTAAATCTGTTCCAACTGTGAGTATAAAGACACAAATAATCGCTTGAACAAAAATCATTACAAAAACAACATAAACTACCTGGCAGTAGCAAAAACTACAATGATATATTAGTTGTCAGCTGATATCTTGTTAAGGTCACATCTGCAGGATGTTACAAAAATCGTTTTGATAATTATCACATAAACTGGTTGATTTTTTTCACTTTATTTTAGAAAATCATCATTTACTGCAATGACTGGAGGCTGGTGTGTTAAGTGCTGAAGCCAACATGTAAATTGTTAGCTTTTACCAATTTCGGAGTATTTAGATAGTAAATCCGTATGAAATATGAACAGAAATACATAATTTCCTCAGCTTTTTTTGCATACTGACTTCAAAATTTTATTATTTCAAAAATAAATCCAAAACAAATTAATATTTTTGTATTAGATATATTGAATGAAAAACACATATTCAAAGTATGAAATGTGTTTATGAATAACCACAAGCAAAATAAGTAAATTTTTAATGTATTCAGTAAATCTATATAAAATATAAATAATTGAATAAGACTTGTTGTACACTCGTCCTTCGTCCGAATCTCTCTATATTTCTGAGATGAGTTTTTGTAATTATTTACACTATTTATATTGTTCGGACTGCTGACCTCATGTTTATGGTCATATTCACGACGTTACGACCATTGCACTCAGTGGTCAAAATGAAGTCTAACGTTATAAATACTGACACCAATAATTAGATTATTAACTTATTACCAATTTCTTAGCATTTCCTTTTTAATATCGTCCGAAAAAATGTACAGAAATATCTAATTTTCGCATGTTTTTTCGTTACAGACATCAAATTCGTACTATTTATGTGTTATTATGGACCATAGTGTGTGTGTGTGTGTGTGTGTGTGTGTTGTGTGTGTGTGTGTGTGTGTGTTCGTTTATATTGATCGGATTTCCTACATTTTTCAACTGATTTCAATAAAACTTCCACAGGACTACGTGGAAATTACCATTGCGGTGGTTCTGGTGAGGCCAAAAATGGAAAAAACACAATTGTTTCTGCACGAAATCAATTTGAAAACACAATTAAGAGGCATCGCTATTGGAGAATGAAAGGGGACAACTCATATCGAGTTACACTTATTATAAAACCCAGGTTGTGTGTGTGTGTGTTTCCTTTATATATGGGATCGGATTTCCTACATTTTTCATTCGATTTCAACAAAACTTCACTTTTTTTTTGGCAGGTGGTGTTTCTTATTGTCTTGCACATTTTTTTAACTATTTTTACA